TGCGCCTTTCCTGGGATTCACTTGGTAGCCCAGGCTGGCCTCGAACTCACAGAGATCCGCCTGGCTCTGCCTCCCGAGTGCTGGGATTAAAGGCGTGCACCACCACCGCCCGGCAGGAATTATGTTTTAAACTATATATTTCATAGTTGTTGAAATACAGATCAGTTAAGTTTTGAGTGTTTATTTTAGGCCATTGGTTCTGGAAGATTTTTAATCTCACCCAGTGCTGTGTTTCATTTTCACCCATGGAGAGGATTAAGGTAACAATAGGGAGCATTTACTGAACACTCCCACGTGCCAGGTGCCATGCACCTAATCCTCCTTAAGCCCTCTAGGTCGGTGGTACAGCCCTCCTAATTTATTGATGAAGACAATGGGTAGAGGGAGCAAGAACCCTGCCAGACACACAGCTAGTGAAATGTAGGGATCCCAATCCATGCTCTTAAGCAATAGGACACTCTCTGGGATTACAGTGGTGAACCACTGTATTCAGTTCTTCAACTATTATGTGCACAGAAGCTAACCTTTTAAAGGAACCATTCATTTAATCATTCATTCATTCAAAATCTACTTACTAGGTCCCTACCCTTTGGCCAGATCCTGTCTTACTGACCTATATAGTAATTAATGAAATAGAGAAAGAATGCCCATCTGGGGGACTTAAAATATAGGGGGAGATATAGGAGAAAAAAAATCCAAGATAAATAAGTATAATAGGTATTTGGTTATATTATTTATTCATTCTGTCTTTTTTTTTTTTTTTTTTTTTTTTGAGACAGGGTTTCTGTGTGTAGCCTAGGCTGTCCTGGAACTTGCTCTGTAGACCAGGCTGGCCTTAAACTCACAGAGATCCGCCTGCCTCTGCCTCTTGAGTGCTGGGATCAAAGGCATTCGCCACCACCACCACCCAGCCTAATTCTCTATGTATATTAGATCATGGCACAGGAGTTTCAAGGTTTGTTTGAGAAACAGAGTCTCTTAGTGTAGCCCAGGCTGGCACTGAAATTGAAAGCTTCCTGTTTTATCTCTCTTGAGTTTAACTATGACTTATGGACTGTATTCACATCAATGAAATAATAACAGAACCCATTATCTCTCAAAGAAAATAACACTGGTTTCCTATCCATAGGCTGTTTCCTGATGGGACCTGGGAGGCCTTGGACATTCAGACTCTAGCCTAGCTATTGTTACATTCAAGACTCTAGCCCATTCTAGAGCTTTCTAGCCCAGCTACTGTTACACTTCAGGGTTCCTGCTCAATCCTTGCTGGGGTTATCTCCAAAGCTTTGAGGGAAAAGCACGGAATTCTAATTCAGCAAATCAAGTCTGAGGTCACTGAAGAAGCATGCAGGAAACTTTCTGGAGCAGGGAGTTGAGCCGGCAGCAATCTCTTTCTTTGTACAAACACAGGGATATTGGATAGAGTATTTTAAGGAAAAGAAGACAACTCAAATACAAAGCTGAGTTTGTCAGAAAATACCGCACATCTCCCAGCGTCAGCGAAACAGGGAACCGGGGGCTTGGAATGAGGCTGTTTGTAGAATGCTTTCTTAGCATGCAGGAAGCCCTTGCTTCAATCCCCAGCGTTATATAAACTGGGTACAGAAGTGCATATCTGTAAGCCCAGCACTAGAGAGGTGGAGGCGGACAGTCAGAGGTTCAAGGTCATCATCAGCTATATGGTGAGTTCGAGGCCAGACTTAGGACACATGAGACCTGACTTTAAAAGAAAAGGAAGAAGAAGAAGAAGAAGAAGAAGAAGAAGAAGAAGAAGAAGAAGAAGAAGAAGAAGAAGAAGAAGAAGAAGAAGAAGAAAGAAGAGCGGAGGGACCTTGGAAGAAGTAGCGAGTCAGGTGTGGTGGTGCATACCTGTAATTCTACCCTTCTGCCTGCTAGTTAAGCACTTTACTGCTGTCTGCCCCCCCCCCCCCCCAAGGTCTCCTGCTTTGTCTCTTTGGCTGTCCCTGCTTTTGAAATGGCACTTTCTTGATCTGTAGAGGAACTGGCCGGTCCTTCATAGAATGTAACCTGTCGAAAAGCAGCGTCTCTGCCTAAAGCTTCTCCAGATGGCATGGAGTGGGAGAGTGCCCAGCAAGAAGGACACCCCACTATCTTGTAGCTTTTCTGCCCCCTGACCTTTCCCCTCCTCTTCGCGTACCTGAGTCCCTTCAGATGGTATTTTCAGGGGGACGGCGACTTCTTATCTTCTGCTCTTTTTTGTTGTTGTTATGTTGGTTGGTTTTTCAAGACAGGGGTTCTCTGCATAGCCCTGGCCGTCCAGGAACTCGATCTGTAGACCAGTATGTTTATCCTCTGCTCTTAAACCTGACTTCTTTCAACCAATTTCCTTTTAAGTATTGGCTTTCAAGTAGCAAGCAGATGAACTTAAGTCCTATGATACTCTCTCCTTTATTCCAAATATTTCCTCCTATATATATATATATATGGTTTGTGTGTGTGTGAGAGAGACAGACAGACAGAGACAGAGAGACTGTTTACATACATACATATCTGAGTAAACATACTTATTGTTCACGGAGGTCAGAAGAGGGCATTGGATTCCTCAAAGCTGGAGTCACAGGCATTTGCAGGTGCTCGGCTTGAGGCACACACTCCAACACCTAGCGAGACTACCTTGTTTCTAAGTCACAATGTATGAAAGTGACAGGATCTCGTTTCTCAGATCATGTCACAACAAAAGACTCAGGGTGGAGAGATGGCTCGGTTGGTAAAAAAATGCTTGCTGCCCAAGCTTGAGGACCTGAGTTCAAACCTCTGGCACCTCTCTAATGTGGTTGTATATGGCTGCACCGACTTGTAACCCTGGCACTGGAGGTGGGGACTGGCAGAGACAGATGGATCCTCAGAGCTTTTGGCCAGCCACAGATTCCAGATTCAGTGGGAGACTCTGCCTCATGGAAGTAAGTTGGAGAGCCTTTCATAGCAGATTACACTCAATGATCTTCTTCGTACCCACGCATATGTGAACACACACACCAATCAATCGTATCATTTTTAAAGAGTCTCATCTCAGCCGGGAGGCAGTGGTGCATGCCTTTAATCTCAGCACTCAAGAGGCAGAGCCAGTCAGATCTCTGTGAGTTTGAGACCAGCCTGGTCTAAAAAAAAAAAAAAAGTCTCATCTCGTCCCTTCCCTCTCTCCCTGTTTGCTGGAGGTTCAACCCAGAGGCTCACGCATACACTCTGAAAGTGCTCGAATGTTAAAAACTATGGCTCCCTTCTCTTTAACCCCTTACTATGTGGGAGGAAGCCAGCTGCATTTTCTGGAGGTGCAAATTGGAACTGTTGCTACTGCCCAGCAGCCAGAGAGGGCCTGCAGCCTGCTAACTGCCATGGAGTAAACCTGAAAGAGGACTCTCAGGGTTTGAGATAACTACAGCCCTGCCTCATATCTTCATTTGATCCAAGGCAGAGGAGGAGAGGAAGAAAAAGAAGAGAGGGAAAGGTCTCTCCGCTGGAGGATCGCGCTAAATTGCATCCAGATTCCTGAAGCAGAGAAACTGGGGGGAAAAAAAGTTTATTGCTTGCTTAAAGCTGCAAAAGATTGGTGTGATTTGTTACCTAACGTATAATTAATTGAAAAAGATTGCTTATTCATCAAAATCACTTTGTAAACCCCCCCCCCCCCAAAGCCTGAGAGCAGCACTGGGGTTTCTCCAGAAACAGCTTGTTTCTTCATAGACACAGATGCCCTTATATGTTGTTTTTCCTTTCCAGTTTTGGCTACCAGGAAACTCAGAGTCAGTTATGGCTCAATTTTAACAATTGTGCAAGCCCCTATGACCTGCTTATCTGTCTTCTCACATCTCCCCTTTCGTTTTCTTCTGATTTGCCCTTTTCCGTGTCTTGATTTTTTTGTTTATTTTTATCCTTTTTGTATGAATTATGTTAAAGCTATATCAAATCCAAATTATAGAGAAGTATTCATGAACCCATTTAAAAATAGTTTTTTTTAAATGTAAAAATAGTTTCGCATATTTAAGAAAAAAGTTTTTCACATGTTGAACGCAAGATGACTGGAGGTGGTGCCTGGGGAAGATCATGTCATGCAAACGTGTCTCTGGAGCCTGAAGCCATTGGTCAGGGATAATTTGGATTGGATAAGAAATATCAAGTGATAACGACGAAAAAGAGGGGGAAAAGGGCAACCGACTGCTACCAGGGGCCAAGGGCTTGCCCAGTCATGCACAGTAAGAGCATCTTTGAAATCGATCCCTTGCAACAGCCTCCTAAGGCTAAGCCAAGCCACCTCGCGCCTCACCCCTTCCCCCGGCCACACCCCTCAACTCCCCTGGTCGCGTCTCTGCCCGCTTCCAACAACACATCAGAGGTTTTGCGCTCCGCCCCTCCCCTCCGCTCCCGCCTTCTCCGCCCTTCTATACTCCGCCTCTTCTTTGACCGCTCCCTCCAGTCTGATGAACCCTGTCTCAGTCCCGCCCTCCACTTGCGCCACGCGGCCCTGGCTGGTTGAGACCTCCGCCTCTTCCCCGCCCGCGCGCTTCCGCCCCACACCGCCCCTTTTACATTTAAACCACGCCCACCGCCCCAGCCACGCCCCCTCGCCTGCGCCGCACCGCCTCCCAGCTGTGGCGCGCTCCGCCTCCTCCCTCCACACTTAGGTGCGCTTTCCTCGCCCCGCCCCAATGCCGGCCAAGCCCCGCCCCTCCCCATGCCCTTCCCTCCCCCTCAGACCCCGCCCTCCGCATGCGCCGCACCGCCTCCCTGGCGGTTGCGCGCTCCGCCCCTCCCTCCGTGCCCGCGCGCGCGCCCTCCCCGCCCAGTCCGCCTCACTCCTCTCGGGGCGGTTGGGCCGCGCGCCTGTGGGGGCGGGGCCCGGAGGAGGCGACCGAGCCAATGGGGCGCGGCGGTGGCGGCGGCGGCGGCGGCGGCGGCGGAGGCGGTGGCGGCAGCGGCGGCGGCTGGGTCGGGCCCCGACGGGCGGCGGCGTCTGAGGTGGAGGCGGAGGGAGGCGGCGGCGGCGGCGGCGGCGGCGGCGGCGGCGGAGGGGGGAAGATGGCGGCGCCCGTCCTGCTGAGAGTGTCGGTGCCGCGGTGGGAACGGGTGGCCCGGTATGCAGTGTGCGCCGCCGGGATCCTGCTCTCCATCTACGCCTACCACGTGGAGCGGGAGAAGGAGAGGGACCCGGAGTACCGGGCCCTTTGCGACCTGGGGCCCTGGGTGAAGTGCTCCGCCGCCCTGGCCTCCAGGTAGCCCGGCTTGAGTGAGGGGAGCGCGACGCGGGCGGCGGCGGGGGGCGGGGAGCGCGCGGGGAGCTCCGGCCTGAGGGAGCAGGGCCCGGGCCGCGACACGGACGGCGGCCACCGGGGCGGGCGGGGGTGGGGGGGGCGGCGGCGGCCGAGGGCAGGCCGCCGGGATGAGGTGGCACGGTGCAGCCGGGAGGGCGCGGGCGCGTCCTGGCCGGCGTGACTTGTCTCCCCGTTGTCGCCGTGCGAGGCGCGTGAAGACCCCGGTGCAGGGATCGGCGAAGCCAGTGTCCATCCCCGGGGTCCTCGGACCTCTGCTGCCCCGGGGCAGTGTGGCCGGATGTACGCTCTCGGGGATGGCTTTCCCTACCACCCTCCGGTTGTTCAGGACAGGTGTTTTCGGTGCTCAGGCCTCTTTGTACTCCGTAGAGTTACAGAGAATTGGCAGCCTTCTGGAGGCGACAGTGACATTTGCGGGTAGACACGCATTTGACCCTACTCTGGAAGAGGAAGGTACCAGCACTTAACCTATCTGATTTCTTGGGTTTTTCTCCCTCGTGGATTTGATGAAGTGTGCCCAGCAGGGGGAAAAATGGCCAGAGTTTGGTTCTACTTTAAGTTTTGTGTAAAAGATGAGTATGTTGTGTGTAGTGAAGATGTTTGAGGCACCTACTACGATGACTTTTCTTTTATTTTGAGATGCACATTGTCCTGGAACTTGTCTGACTGTAACCACCGAAGCTATTCTCCTGCCTCAGTCTCATGAATGTCGGGAAATACAAGCATGCACCACCCACCATTCGTGACTTAGAATGACTTTTAAGTGTTGCTGATTAGTATTAACGGGATAATCCGCAGAAGATTAAATAAGCACAATTTTGCCAGGCTGGTTTGTTTGAACAGTTTTTGTTTCTTGAAAATACAATTGATATTTTTTTTCTGTTACATTTTATTTAGTGCGTTATTTTTTTTTTCCTAGTATATTTCCAAGTAAATGACTTGGGAACATTATTTTACACTTTTTTTAAAAACAAGCTTTTTTTTTTTAAAGGGTAACAGTCATCAAAAACAGCAAAAGTTAAAAGAATTATTGCAAAATTGATAATTTGTAATTTTAGTAGAGACTTCCTACCCCTAGTATTTGATTGTTGTTAAGAGTGCTTACATTTCACTACACTTCTTTCTCTCCTTTTGATAAATTGCTAGGGAGACAGAAATATACAGCTTACAAGTTTATTTTGCCCTTCATATTGGTGGAGGAGTATTTGAACAAGCTATGGTTGGAGTTTCTCTTGTATTTGTTTGCAAACTTAAGGCTGTTTATCTTTTCCACTTAGCCCTTTTCACGAACCAGGTAGGCTGTCTCATTTGCTCTTAAATGGAATTCCTGTACCTTTTTGCTTGAAAAATGGTTGTCATTATGGCCTCATTAAACTTTTGGTTTTTTTTTTTTTTTTTGTGTGTGTGTGTGTGTGTGTGTGTGTGTGTGTGTGTGTGTGTGTGTGTGTAGACAGGGTTTCTCTGTGTAGCCCTGGAGATCCTGGAACTCACTTTGTAGATCAGGCTGGCCTTGAATTCGGAGATCCTCCTGCCTCTGCTAGGATTAAAGGGGTGCATCATCATGCCCAGCTCTTTAAACATTTAAAAAATGCATTGAGGATGTAGCCACCAGTTTACATTATAGAATATATCAGTGTGACAAAGAGCTCACAGGAGTTTATTTTCATTCAGGTTAAGTCTTCTTAGACTTATTTCAGACACTTTGAGAACCACTGAGTATATCTTGTTTTATTGCCTGTATTTATGTTGAGCGGGAGCACACCCAGTTGTGGAGGTTGGTGGACAACATGTAGGAGTCAGTTTTCATCATATGGGTCCTAGGGATTGAACTCAGAACATCAGGCTTGGTGGCAAGCATCTTTACCAGCTGAGCCATCTCACTGGTCCCACTGAGTATATTTTATGCACACATTTTTTTTTTTTTATGTTCTTTGAACTTTTGGAAAGGGTTTTTAAACTTAAATAACACCCAAAATTTGTTGAATGGATAAATACAGAATACAAATATACAGCAGCATATTTCCAGTACTTACAAACCATGAAATAAAAGTGACTGGATAATAGGCTAATATGAAATTTAGTTATAATTATACCAACTTTTTTTTTTATAAGTCTATATAAAACTTTCTGGGCCTTTTATTATTTGGTCATATAAAAAGTAGTTTACTGTATGCTTGAGTTCTTAAAATGGGCTTTTCTTTAAGAGACTGTCTGAACCATTTAATAACTATACACTAGATATTCTTATAGTTAATAATGCACCACAAGAAAAAAATTTTCATACTTTTTGTTTTTTGAGACAGGATCTTGCTTTGTAGTTCTGGCCAACCTTGAACCGAGAGCTGTCCTGTCTCAGCCTCCTGAGTACTGGGATTATAGCCTTGCATAAACATTTGTCCTGTCCTTGTTTTGTTTTTCAATAAGACATGATTAAATGATATTTAGTAACATCAGTTAATGAATGAACATTATTTTAAAGCATATTAGACTAAAGATCTCTCTATGTCTATCTCAGAGGTACTAGAGATTGAACACAGGGCCTGACCAATATTAGGCAAATTCTTAATTACTGAGTTTCATCCTAGGCTCACTTATTTATTTTAATTTTTGTCAGAGCCTTACTATGTAACGTTGACTGGCTTGGAATTCAGAGATCTGCTTGCCTCTGCATCCTAAGTGCTGAGATTAAAGCTTTATGCCACCATGCCCAGCATTGTTTCTAAAGATGGGTTTCATGTAACCCAAGTTAGCCTCAAACTTGCTATGTTGCAGCACAAGTTGAAGCTGGCTTTGAACTGAGATCCTCCACTACTAATAATCTGAGATTACAGGTATGCATCATCATGCCTAGCTTCTGTATTTCTATAATATACAAACTGTGACTATAGTATGTTGTGGCTGATGTTTTGTTATATAGTGATGTATTTAATTATCTTAAACTTGCGTTGGAGAGATGGCTTACTAGTTAAGAGCATATACTGCTCTTCCAGAGGATGAATCCATTTCCCAGCACCCATAGTGAGTGGTTCATAACCACCTGTAACTGCAGCTCTGGGGAATTCAGTGTCCTCTTTTTTTCTTTTCTTCTTTATCTTTTCTTTTCTTTCTTTCTTTTTTTTTAAATGAGTCTTTTGCCTGTATATACATATATACACTACATGTATGCCTGGTATCTACGAGGTCAGAAGAGAGTGTTTGGTCCCTGGACTGGAGTTACAGGCATTTTTGAGCAGCTCATGTGGGTGCTGGGAATGAAACCAAAGTCTTTGCAAAAATATGTGCTCTTAATCGCTGAGCCAACTTCAGACCCTCTTCTGGCCTCTGAGGACACCTGCACATATGTGTACATACCACATAAACACATATACATAATTAAAAGTAAAGACTTTAATATTTTTAAATTTGATGCTTACCAAAGGATAGGTAAGAAGGCATTCTAATAGGACTAAATATATCCCATATATAAAGCTATTTTCAAGAATTAGCCTTTTGACTATCTTGAGGGGTGTGTGCGCGCGTTCGTGCGAGTGTAAGTGTTTAATGAAGATAAGAGAATTTAGACTGTTTGCTTTAGAGACTGATTTTCTTTTGGAATTGGGAAGTATAAACATCTACAAGATGCTCTTGACAGTATGGGAAAGCCCTTAAATGAGGTACTATTAGAGACTTCATATTAGTTCCTTTGGTTTGAAAACTGAGTGCCAGATAGCAGTAGTATTAAAAGACAATGTTATTTTAGCAGACAAAAGCTTGAGCCCAAGAGTTAGTAGAATGGATGGTAAAGGAAGTTAACAGAAGAGAAAATTCCTGAGCAGAGTTATTCCTAGGACCATGTTAACTCATATGAATTGCTTAAATCCACTTTATTCTCATTTCTCAATTTCTTAACTGAAATAGAATAAAGTAGGCATTAATATTAGACAGTCTTGAGGTCTCTGTGTCTAAGGCCTCTAGTGTTTTGAGAAGTATAATTACATAACAGAGTAGTGCCAAGCTTTTGGATTTCAAAAGAGACATTGCCCCCAAAGTTCAGAGACAGCAGAATTGCCAATAACAGCAATAGCAATGGAACCAGGCATAGTGGCACACACTTTTAGTTTCAGCATTCATGAGGTCGAGGCAGGGGGAATCTCTGTGAGTTCAAGGCCAGCCTGGTCTATATAGCAAGCTCCAGGACAGCGAAGGTTACCTAGAAAGATCTTGTCTCAATAAACAAAAAATAGTTATGCTACTGTCTGTCATCATCATTGGTTTGTTTTCCGCTATTTATGCCTTTTGAAAGAGTAGAATCTTAAAGTAACAGATCTTTACGTTGAATTATTTACCTTTTATTGAAATGTGTACATTAAGCATTTAATCTCCAGTACCACAGAGAAAGGACATAGAAATGTTGTGTTTCTTTGTCAGAGTTTTAGACATGATGAGGATCACGGAGATAGTGGTAGGTTAAGATCAGAAGCATGGCTTCTAGAGTACCAGTTTAGAGCCTCCCACTGCACCCTTTTCTTCTGGAGACAGGTTCTCACTATGGCCCAGACTGGCCATGAACTCTATCATTGATCTCCTGCCTCTGTTTCCCTAGCAGTGGCTGTGTACCAGCATGCCCAGTCCAACTACTTAACAAATTTAAACAAGTTTTCATCATATGTTCTGACCCACCTCTAGTTTTTCGCTAAGCGTTATTTCTACCACTCTGTACTTTAAGTGTTTGTATTTATATCAGCGAAACATGAGTAACTGCTAGTATGTGAGAAAACTTCCTAATTTAATGAATTCGGATGAATTTAAGAAACAGATTGCTGTGTTGCCATTGTGTCTTGTAACAAATCTCAGAAGGAGCTTAAGCAAAAAGAGGAATAGAAAGACTCACAGAGTGAATGTGGGTGGCCACCATGTAGTGAAGATGTCAGTATTTGCAGGGCGTGCTTGCTCTCTGCTGGGCA